AGCTGTTGTTAGAATTTATTTAATATTACTTTCTACACCAGGATCTTTTCTACGTAGCTGACGGCTGGTAACTGTGCAGGGCGGATCTAGCAAAGTTTAAGCCAGGGGGGCCGATAGGGCATGAACAGGGAAAAGGGGCACAAAGACAGACTTTTCTTTCTTATTCTCATTTAAAATGTCGAGCTTTTAATAAATAATTATCTGACACCCAAAGTTTTTAATTTGATGTAAAATGAATAGAAGTCAATTACTGTATATAGTGACTATAAGTCTAATATATAGTATACCCTAGTAAGGTATAGTACTTTTTCCTTTGGGAGGTACTATCTGTGCAGTCTGCAATTTTGTTGAAGAAGATGTTGAATCTATTTAATATTTCTTGAAAAATAATTGATTTCTGTGCATTTTTTTTCACACTGCATCAAATTAAGGTTGATTACGTCGATTAAGCATCATGAGGTGGAGCGTGAGGGGTGGTTCCCTATTTTTTATTTAGTTATGTTGTTGCTGGGAGTTGGAACCCTATTAGTTAGGTTGCTTAATATTTGCGCTAAGTACTCTTTAATGTACCAGAATAGGGAGGATGGTGTAGGTTTAAGTTTATTAGATTGATCAGTATTGCTGAACTATGAAATATTTTTTTTGTATACAGGTATAACAGAATAGCTTTAGTGTAGTTGTTGTTTTAAACTTGAGTATGAACTTATACAAAATGCAGCAAGATATTTAAAAAAAACAGTTTTGTTGATTAAAAAACACTATATCGGATTCATATCGGTATCGGCAGATATCCAAATTTGTGATATCGGAATCGGACATAAAAAAGTGGTATCGTGCCATCTCTAATTTTTACACAGTGTTCTGAATGATTAACAATGGTCTACAGCCAATCTTGTGTATTATTATACAAACTTTGGTTGTAAGATTCAGATAACTATTTAATAAAAGCTAAATATTTTTAATGAGAATAAGAAAGAAAAGTATTTCTTTGTGCCCCCCTCTCCCTGTTAATGCCCTACCTGGCCCCCGGGCAACACTTTGCTAGATCCGCCCCTGCACAGTTACCAGCTGTCAGCTACATAGAAAAGGATCCTGGTGTTATTTGTCTCTCAGAAACTGTTCATAACTTCCCTTCAACTCATTCATGTCACCTAAAAGTTAAACCTGTTTCTCCATCACCTGTTCAGCTCTGATGATTCAGTAAGGACATCTCCTGGTTTCGACCAGCCACCTTTACAGCTGTGGCTCCAGAAAACATCAGCTGATACTAGAATTAATATCAAATAAATTCTAACAGCAGCTGATCAAGTTTAAACGTGCTGCTGTTGTTTAGCGCAACATCCGCCGGCTTCCTCTTTCTGGCACAAAGTGGGTGATAAACAACACGGAGAGAAAGCCAATCAGCTGATCATTTATCAGTTTCATGGATTGAAGTTGCAACAGGCAAGAGAAATGAAGGGGAAGAGTCCGCTGTGCAGCGTAACGAGAGAATAACTCCAGCTTTGTGTCTTTTCCATTGTAGCTGAAGTACGGGACAAACTGTGTTCCTTTTCAGCTCAATACGAAATGTGTAATATGTTCTCTGAATGCGGGACGATTCGTTTGCACGGGACAGTTGGCAACTCTACTAACGAACCTTATGAATACAATAAAGTTCACCATCAGTAACAAAGCACGCACCCAGCTGTATAGAAAGTCTGTCATGCTAGCTAGCGCGCAGTATGACTTATTTTAACTGATTGTAAAAAGTCAGCACAACGAAAATATACATAATGTCTTACCTGACATTCAGTTCACCGGACACTCGTACCGGCGGCGCGCAAGAGAGAGGGGGGTGTGAAACGAGACAGAGAACCGCTCTCGGTGTAAGCCAGTCGCTCGGCTCCTGCATGTCCTTTCTATCATACACCGGTGGCTAGCTGCCCTTTGTTGGAGCTCCGCGTTAGCCACCACGAAACAACTCAGTTATTTTTCCTGCATCGACCAGCATCTGGACAATCCACCACCTTTCACTGTTTATACCATTACTAAAATGAATCATCGGCCCATAAAAGCGAAAATGTGACTCCGAGTCTGTGCGAGTATTTGTGAGAGACCCGGGAGGTGAAACAAGAGAGAGAGTCGCCCTAGTGGTGCTTTTCAGCCAAGCGCTAGCTAGCCGGCTAGCTGCCATATGGCAGCAACATCGTCAGAGCACTGTTGCTAATATGGGATGTCTTGATAAAACGAACAGATATTTGAAGTTTACACAGCTACATTTTTGCCTGAAAATATCTTAAAAGTTTATTTTGTCACCTAGAAACATTGATAAAAGCATATATAAAATGAAGAGGTGGGCTCCATTGTTTGACTGGCAGAGGTGAGCTATGAATTGTGGGATATGGCGGCAGAGGTGTGCTATGAATTGTGGGATATGGAGTTTTCCATCATGTCAATGGGCCAAAATTTGCACTAAAATATTAATATTTAAAAAAGTATAAAAGTCATAAACCCCAAAAGTCATAGTACACCATTCCAGATCCAGCCGCACAAAATGATATAACATTTGTGAAGCTTGTCTCAAACTCTGGGGTGAGTTATTAAGTGTGCCTCTTGGCATAGGCACAAATAATAATTATTGTACTTAAGGCACTTCAGGTATCTGTACTTGAGTATTTTTATTTTCAGACTACTTTTTACTTTTGTTCCCTACATTTTTAAACAAATATCTGTACTTTCTATTTCTTACATTTTCAAAACAAATTAATCAGATTTACTAATTCATTTCCCTCTCATTCTGTGAGACTGAATTTAAAATGCAGATAAGAAAATGAAGTGGTGGATGTATCTCTCATTTAATATAACTTCAAGAAATTAATCAGCCAAGATCAGAAGATTCTAACTAATCCCTAACAAACATTGAAGACTGTGTAAAGAAGAATACTGACTGGATCAACTTTATGGAAAAAAAAAGTACTGACTTTGATGTGTTCTTTGTTTATAAATGAGTCATTTTGTGTTTTTCACAGTTCAAAGATGGTGGAACCTGCTCAGACACAACTTCTGAAAACGCTGGGAGATTTGGGAGAAAAGGAACTGAAATATTTTAAGTGGTATCTACAGAAACCTCAGTTACTGGGCGGTTTACCAGTAATCCCAAAGACTGATCTTCAGACGGCTGATAACACAGAGACAGTGAATTTGATGATCAGCAAATACAAATTTGAAGATGCTTGGAAGTCACAAAGAAGATTTTGGAAAAAGTCAAGACTCAAACAAGTCAGTAAGGGGTAAACAAAATAACACGAAACATGAAATTTTGGCTGAATTATGTCTTGATGCCTGCTTAATCATCCATGTAAAGAAATCCCCAAAAGGTTGATTCTGTTCATCATTCATTCTGTTCGTCATTCATCCAAGTGACTTCTTCAGTCTCAGCTGACTGCAGGTTCCCCCAATCTTATAAAGAGTACATTTGCACAAAAAATGAAACCAGCCCACTGTATGAACAATGGGCTGTGAGGTCAGTTCCTTGATCATTTATATGCAAATATAAAAGTCTCAAATTGATCAAGGAGCATTTTCCCTTTTCACGTAAATGGCCTCTTTGACTCCGCGCTCAAACCAGCGTTCCTCCCTGTCCAGGATGTTACATCCTCATCATTGAAAGAGCGTCCACTGGCCTTTAGGTGTATCCTCTTAGCCAGAGGTTGTTTGGTTTCCCTGATGTATAGATCCTGGCAATCCTCCTGCACTTAACAGTGTACACTATGTTACTCTGTTTGTGTCGGGGACCCGATCCTTGGGGTGGACCAGTTTTTTGCGCAGCGTGTTTTGAGGTTTAAAAGCCATGGAGATGCGGTGTTTGGAGAAAATGCATCTCAACTGTTCCGATACTCCTGACACATACAGGATCACTAAGCTTTTTCACTTAAGCAGCGGTTGTCCTTCTCTCCTGGATCATCCTGGAGCTTCCTTTAGGCGCCTTCTCAGCTTTGACAAATGTCCAGCTGGGATAACCACATTTACTCAGGGCCTTCTTGATGTGATGTTCTTCTGCTTCACTGGCTGCATTGTCAGTGGTATAGATGTGAAAAGCGGCTGGTATTTTTATCTGTATTTGTATTTGTTGAGGAGGGAAAAGTATTTATATTTGTAAATGTATTTGAATAAATTCAAAATAGGTGTAAAAATCGGGTTTTTTTGCGTTACACTTCTAATTAACATTATAATGTAAGTATTCTTTAATCATATCCATTATAATAATTATGGATATGCTGTATTAGTTGATGTTCTTCCATAAATCCAACAATGAACATGTAACAAGGAACGTAATTGAAAAGAAAATAACATAACAGCCTCACCCATGGTTAAACCAACAACTAATAAAATACCATTGTGAACATTATGAACTCCACCACCACCGGTCCTTGTTGGAGGACGCTGAACAGACAGGGAAACTGACTTGCAGGGGCAGAACATGGCTGTGATGATGAACTGGTGCTGGTGGGGGGGGGTTGGCAGACAGCACCAGGAGAGGATGCTTTAAGTGCAGGTGATTATGCATAGCAGATGTTGTAAGATGTTTGATATCTCTGCCTCTGCTGATTTGACTTTTGCACACAATACATAACAGTTTGGTTTCATCTCCAGCACTGAAAGTAAAAGACCCAGGGAAACTGAGTTAACCAAGATAAGATAAGATAACTTTTATCAGTCCCACACGTGGGAAATGTATTTCATCACAGCAGGAAGTGGACAGTGCAAAAGTTAGATAGCAAAAATTAGAATACAATAAGAATAAAATACTGTACACAACCGTACAGAATACAATAAATTAAAATAAAATACTTTATACAGTGGAATAATATAGAATAAAATAGACAATAGGATAAAAATAGAATACAAATTCTATATACAACTGAGTAAAAAAAATAATTAATTATAAAATATTAAATAATAACAATAAAAAACAATAAAAATCCGTGAAAAACATAAATTCACACCCAAACCTCAACTCTCGCAGCCCAGTACCAAACCACACATGGACCAGTACCGATCCATGGCCCGGGGCTTGGGGACCGCTGGTCTAAATTGCCGAGCTAACAGAGCTCCATAAACAGAGCGAACATGAGAGCACCCGACTGCATAACGTCAGTAATGCAGCATAACTGATTAATCTCCCGATCTTCACCAAAGTTATAAACTGCCTCTGAAACCCAGTTAAGGTACAAAACAATCTATTCAACAAAAATAGTGATGCAGTTCAGTCTTTTATCACTCAGCTGTGCCGTCTCAGTTGCTGTGTGGAGCAGCCGGTGTCAGTCACTTTTTTGCACGTCACTCATCCGGTCATGTACTGTGGTCTCATAAGGAAACTCATCTTTCTGATATACATTTTTTCTTGTTCCCGAATACAAATATTTTTTTAAAGTATTTGTGTGAAATAAGTATTCGTAAAAAACACATTATTTGTGCATTTCCGAATACCGTATTCGGGTTCACCTCCACCCCTATTCTGTGGGGATGGTGTTCTCTCTGTGTTGTAGTTTCCAGATGACACCCACTTTATGCTCCAGTGGATGATGAGAGTCAAACCTTAAATACGTATGTGTAGGTTTACGGTACACGTCAGCTTTTAGATGTCCCCCATTCAAAATCTCACAGTCTAAGAAGGCCAACCTGCCACTTTTCATATCCTCCCTGGTAAATTTGATGTGTCGGTCTACCGAGTTAATGTGATCCATGAAATGTGGTAGATCCTGAGATTTGATTTTCACCCAGGTGTCATCCACATACCTGAACCAATGGCTTGGTGGTGTTCCAGGGTAGGATAGCAAAGCCCTCTTTTCCACTTCTTCCATGTACAAATTAGCCACGATGGGTGAAACTGGGGAACCCATGGCACACCCATGTTTCTGCCTGTAGAACTGACCCTTGTATGTGAAATAGGTGGGATGAAGACACAGTTCCAAGAGCAAACACACTTGGTCAGTGCTGAGAGTGGTCCTGTTGCTGAGGTTGGTGTCATCCTGTAATCTCTTATGAACTACCTCCAACACTTCCATGACTGGGATGCAAGTGAAGAGAGATGCCAACCATCCCTTTAACGTTAACTAGTAATGACTTCATGAACTTCTTCACAAATAAAATTTTTATCATTAGAGAAAAAATTACCAATAATCATCCCACAGATGTAATATTATCTACAGCTACTCTTAGTACCATTGATGTTAAGTTAGACTCTTTTTCTCCAATTGATCTTTCTGAGTTAACTTCAATAATTACTTCCTCCAAACCATCAACGTGTCTTTTAGACCCCATTCCTACAAAACTGCTCAAAGAAGTCCTGCCATTAATTAATTCTTCGATCTTAAATATGATCAACCTATCTCTAATGATCGGCTATGTACCACAGGCCTTCAAGCTGGCTGTAGTTAAACCTTTACTCAAAAAGCATCTCTAGACCCAGCAGTCTTAGCTAATTATAGGCCAATCTCCAACCTTCCTTTCATATCAAACATCCTTGAAAGAGTAGTTGTCAAACAGCTAACAGATCATCTGCAGAGGAATGGTTTATTTGAAGAGTTTCAGTCAGGTTTCAGAGCTCATCACAGCACAGAAACAGCTTTAGTGAAGGTTACAAATGATCTTCTTATGGCCTCTGACAGTGGACTCATCTCTGTGCTTGTCCTGCTAGACCTCAGTGCAGCGTTTGATACTGTTGACCATAATATCCTATTAGAGTGATTAGAACATGCTGTAGGTATTACAGGTACTGCGCTGCAGTGGTTTGTATCATATCTATCTAATAGACTCCAATTTGTGCATGTAAATGGAGAGTCCTCTTCACACACTGAGGTTAATGTCTGTGAAGGTTCTCAGTCATCCAGGTCATCGTAGTCAAAGGAGCTTGCAAAGAAAAGCGTCTGGACTTCTTTAAGTTGCTTGAAGATGCTCCACCTCTCATCCGAGAAGCTTCTTCAGTTCTAAGGTCAAATGGTGGAGAGTCCCAGATATAAGCCTAGTGGGAGTAAACCCCCACAGAGGGACAAAAGGACCCCCTGATGATCCTCTAATCGCCTGAGCCAAGGTGTGAAACTGGGTGTGGGCCCCAATCAGCCAGAGTTTCGGGTGTGTTCATTGTGAAACCTGGTCCCACCTTGTCATGCGAATTCCTGAGGTCAGATGGCCCAGGATGTGAGTGGGCGTTAAGGCGTCTGGGAAGGATCTCAAAACTGGATTATAGATGGCAGAGAGTTGGTGTCGTAAGCCCCGCCTCTGTTCAAAGATGGTCGCTCACAGTGGACATAGATGGCTTCTTTCACTCCTCTTTCAAACCATCTGTCCTCTCTGTCCAAAATGTGAACATTGGCATCCTCGAAAGAGTGTCCTTTATCCTTAAGATGCAGATGGACTACTGAGTCTTGTCCTGTGGAGGTGGCTCTTCTATGTTGTGCCATGCGCTTGTGAAGTGGCTGTTTGGTCTCTCCAATGTAGAGGTCTGGGCATTCCTCGCTGCACTGTACAGCATACACCACATTGTTAAGTCTGTGTTTTGGAGTTTTATCTTTCGGGTGAACCAGTTTCTGTCTGAGTGTGTTGCTGGGTCTGAAATGCACCGGGATGTCATGCTTGGAGAAAACTCTCCTGAGTTTTTCTGATACACCGGCTACATAGGAGATGACAATGTTGTTGCGTCTGTCCTTCTTATCCTCCCTCGCTGGTGTCTGGTCTTCTTTTCTGTGCCTCTTTGCTGACTTTAAGAACGCCCATTTAGGATAGCCGCACGTTTTGAGTGCTTCCTTTACATATGTGTGTTCCTGCTTTTTTCCTTCAGGCTTAGAGGGAACATGTTCTGCCCGGTGGTGTAGGGTCCTAATTACTCCAAGTTTGTGTTCCAGAGGGTGATGGGAGTCAAAGAGGAGGTACTGGTCCGTATGTGTGGGCTTCCGGTAAACTTCGATGTTGAGGTTGCCGTTCTCTTCAATGTGCACAGCGCAGTCCAGGAAAGGCAAACAGTTGTCCTTTGTGTCTTCCCTGGTGAACTTGATGTTTTTATCCACAGCGTTAATGTGCGCAGTGAAGGATTCCACTTCTTGTGTCTTGATTTTGACCCAGGTGTCGTCCACATATCTGTACCAGTGGCTGGGTACTCTTCCTTTGAAAGAGCCAAGAGCCTTTCTTTCCACTTCCTCCATGTAAAGGTTGGCTACAATAGGTGACACGGGGGAGCCCATGGCACAGCCATGTTTTTGTCTGTAAAAGCCTTCGTTGTA